GATACAGAGCTTCGAGTAATCAAGTAAATATAATTATGTCACGGCAATAAAAAGAAACGGTGCAGAAACGGTGAAAACTGAGGCGGCGAGGAGCGAGAAGTTTTCCGAAGAGGATGTATCACGTACATCCGTGTGGATTTCATCGTCGATGATTGAAAAATCGCTAATACCTCCGCCATCAACCCAATCTCGGCTGTCTATTAGCCCACATCATTTTTACAAATTTGCATTCTCCACCTTCCACATTCGCGTACAGTTAACAGCTCGCGTGCTCATCACATCGTCGAGAGTATCGAGATCAAAGTTTCCAACGATTCAACCTACATCGTTCGCGCGATGATACATTGGCGAAAAAGAGCCGATTGAATTGACGCGACAACGTACGGGGCCGAACACGCGTTCCAGCCGAAGAAAACAAGATTTCCTGCGACAGGAGCCAGAATTCCCACGGAGCAGATTCGGTTCGAAGAACCAGAGATGCCGTTTGTGCTCCGAGCCAAGCGCGCCTGGCTCGTTCATCGTCGCCCGTTAATTCGATCGCTCCTCCTGCTCCGTGCAAAAACACAATCGATCGCTTTTCGAGCATCGGTGAAACAACCGTCTCTAAGCCGTGGCGCTTAATTAACCGAGTCTCGCGTACCGCTTTGTGTAGCGCGCGCGTGCGTATTATTTTTGCAAATTCGCGTTCTCTCGGCATGCTCTTCCTTCTCACCACCCACTCCCCCCACACACACACACACACACATACATACACGTGCGCGCGCGTTCATGGAATCGATGTTCGGGATATCAGAGATCGCGCATATATCTAAAATAAACGAACGAAGAGTAAATAACCATCAGCGCCGGCATATACGCGGAATATTCCGCTACGTGCTGTAATCATGAAATTCCGAAACGACGCGCCCTCTAGCTCGCCCGCTAGCTCGTGTGCATCCCGAGTTTCGACCGGTCCGCACCATCTCCAGCAGCGTCGACGACCGTGTGGACATCATATACACCCCGGCCGGGCTTTATATGATTAACGCGAAATAACAGATTCCTGGTTAGAAATTCTAATCGCGCCGCCGTCATCGTCGTCTAGTTGCCGCCGCGTCGCTCGCCAACACAAATCAAAGCAAAGGCCAATGGTCGTCCGGGTCACGGTCCGCGTTTGTGTATATAGCATATTAGCGTTTGTATCATATCTACTCCGCTTGTGCACGGTGTTTAGACCGCGCTCGGTTTTCGTTCCGCCGAAAGCAAGAGAGGGTGAGAGAGAGAGAGGGGGGGCGGAGGGGGGGAGAGAGAGAAATGGATGGATAGATGGATAGACGGTTAGCAGGAAGGGAGGGAGATGAGAGAGAAACGCGGCTGGTATCGCGCGAATATTCATATTTCAACGCGTACACGTTGCTCTACGTCCGTGATGACGACGGTTGGCGTGTTTGTACGATATACGATGTGACCCGTATCGTGCTCCCTCCCTCCCCCCTCCTCACTCTCTCTCTGTTTCTGTATGTCCCTCCGCGCGATTCTATAATCCGCACGACGATACAGATTACTTTGTTCTAACGCGAGTGACAACCACCGAGCTATGGCGGAGGAGAAAACGCAGCGATAGATTGCCTCGTTCCGACTCGAACAACAATTAACTCGCTCGCGGTCTCGCGAGCCGAGTGCGCACGTTGCCCGATCGCATGCCTGACCCGGTCTTAATATTTCGCGATGAGCACAGACGCTTGAAAGAAAATGCTGAGAGATTGTGGAAAGTACGTGCAGATCGAAGTTGCGCGAAGTTTGCGGAGCGAATATTGCCGTGAAAATTATAACAACGTTTTCTTAATCTTCAAGCACACTGAAATATGACGGGAATTATTATTATAACATATATTTGCATATTTGTTTGAAAACGCGTTACGCGCACATTTTTGACTTTTCTTACCGCACAATATTGTAATTGTTTGTTTTTTTTTCTCTTTTTGTTTTAATTATTGCACAGTACTGTGGTGCTAATTGTTTCATTTTGTTTCTTCTTGCCGTTAATTACTTCTACAGTAATTCATGCTACGATATCGGTATAGAACTCAGTTATACCAAAATATTACAAAACACAATCACAATTTTAATGTAATTTCCACTACGATATTTTCCCCGTGTCTGTTTTCGTTCTTCGCGAATTGAAAAACACTGGACTTAAATACATGCGTGCGTTTTACAAATCCGCCATTATTAATCCTTTCGATCTCATGGGGGGATTACAAATGTCCCCCAGAGGTTCATAATTTCATTTCCTCTTAGCATTCAACGAACTTTTCTACATACCATGACTTGTACTTACTTGACATTCCTTAAAAAAAAAATGGAAAGGAAGAGACCGATTAAATGCCAGAGTCCAGGATTAAACGACATACCTCGACTGCGCGAGGGAGCGGCAGCGGGGAGGGGGGGGGGCGGGGGCGGAAGGAATGACGACGAAGCTCACACAATCGATCGCGGTAATTTCTTCTCCGTTTCCGCTGAGTGAGAGTCGCTAGCGAATGAATTATTTTCGCCGCGACGATTATTCGGATTCACGCGAAACGGGCGCTCGCGAGAGCTCGCGGGAGAAAACTGCGCGATGTTGCGAGCGCAACGGCAGACAGGCAAGAGGGCCAGATGAGAACCGCTAATCCGTCCGAGTGGCCAGAATGCAAAACAGAACGCGGATACACAAACGCGCGCGCGCGGGTACTACTGAATTACACGGCGCTCCGGGCGAACAATGTAGCTACGGCATTATTATCCCTTAGCGTGTTCTATCAGCGCACACGGCAATATACGCGCGTGTGCCGAATTTAAGAGCCCCGTTTTGCGAACGTAACAACCACCCGCCCCGCTTCGCTCGCTTCCCACCCCGGCCGAGCGAAGCGAGCGAACGGTGAAAGACAGACACGCGTTGTCGCGGAAAATCTTGACGTTCGAGAAGTCAGACGTTCCCCGAGAAGTCGCGATGCCGAAATCTGAACGCCCAAGCCGTATCCCGAAAAACGACATAGAAATTATACACGAAGTACACACGTGGGGGAAAAAAGTGAGACGAATGCGACGACGGACCTTCTTCCGGTTCTCGTCAAGTACATTCGGAAGTCAGGAATAAGGGCGCGATTACGATGAACTTTACGTAACGGGACGCGACGGGACGTGAATTTGACGTTTGAGGTTATATTTGATATTACGATCACCGTAACGTAACGCCGTAATAATGACTTCTGCTGTGAGGCATTATCAATTTGTAAATTTAATTTTCGCCGGGTATTTGTATCTTCAACTGCGGAAGAGGAAACGAATACGAACCATTGGTGTGAGAGATATTTTTCGACGAAGAATTCGGTTTGGTGACGGGCATAACCTGACATAACGTTGATTGGCTGGAAGTGTCACATGAACAGAGTCCGACTTGACGGAACATCTAAACTTGACATTGGCAAGCTTCACGTCGCGTCAAGTTCCGATATTTCACGTCACGTTACGTAAAGTCGATCGTAACTAGCCGCATATAAAACAGTGTGTTTTAGGTTTTGTGTCACTTCACGTCCCGTCGCGTCCCGTTACGTTAAGTTCATCGTAATCCCGGCATAAGTCGCCGGCGTGTGACCGTTACGTTACCATTACGTTATCGTTGCGCTTTGGGTATGGCGTAGGAAGCTGCGCAGCGACAACGTAACGATACCGTCATTGAAAGTGGAAAGCAAAGGAAAGCTACAGATTTCTCCCAGGCGACGGCGACGAGGAAGCGCGTAAAGGAGGTTCGCCATGCCTCATCGTTAACTCCCCCCCCCCCGTCCGTGCTCGTCGATGGCGGTGATCTACGCACGTCTTTTTGGTGCGACAACGATACTACACGATACGGTATACGGTATTATATACGGTACAACGACGGCCACGAGAGCGTGTGTGCATGTCGGTCGGACACAGGAAGCACAGAAGGACGACGACGACGGCAGGAGACGCCGCCACCGTCGCCGTTTCGGTCCAGATTTAACGCTTGCATTTACATTTAGAGGAGGTCTCACGCCGGCGAACCGTTGTTTACTAATCGGATCCGGAAAATGGCGCTTCCCCCGGCCCGTGAGATTCGTTCTTAGTGTTGTAAACATGTTCCAATGACCGTCAGGCGGCTCCAGGCCAGCGGCCGCCGATGCAGAGTCCGCGCGCAGAGTCTAATCGCGGATCGAATTCTTCAAGTCAGAATTGAATCACCCGCGCTCTGGATGATCCTATTTTCCTTCTTTTTCCCACGGCTTTTTTCAAACGACCCGATGTTCGCCGAATGAGCTTTACATCGAATGAACGAGATGAGCGAGAGCGGAAAATGGAACTCGTGCGCGGTTATTTAGGATAGTTTCTAAAAGAAAAAGAAGACGGAAACTACGCTAAAAAGCGTAGTTTTTTCGAAAAATGTCGCACAGCGTACTTTGCGACAATGAATTAAAAAACACATTTTTGCCGGTAGTATGTTTGGGAATATGTTTTGGGAATTGTATAATCTGAAAAACTCGCGATGCTGCATATTTAAAATTTAAAAAAAATGGAGAAGGGGGCAAAGAGAGACGCGCAGCTTTCAAAAAAGAAAAAAAAAACAAAATAAAATAAAAATAAAAAACAAAAAAATGGGGAGGATGCGAAGGGAGGGAAAAACAAGTTTGACGCGGATGCTATGAAATATACGCTTGTTTTCCTGCTTTTCAACCGGAACGGAAATATCTGGATGTGACTGAAGTTAACTATTTTCAACGTGCGTCTCCCATTGTGTATACACGAAGCCGACACGAGGCGATCTCTCGTTTCAATAAAAATATCATATGCAACCGGCGATACAAGTTGCTACATGCAACTTGCTACATGCAAGTCGCGACGTTTTTTCCGAGACGACGCTGCAGCTTTTTTTCCCGTTCGCTCCGAGCGCGCGCACACGTGTGTGTATGTGTGTGCGTCAGCACGCACGTTAATGAACATGCGTTTCGTTTGTGTCGTTGCAGCTGTTGGCGGGCAATAACAACGCGTACACGGAAAAGGAGCAAATCTTCGACCCGGCGATAGTCGCGACCAAGATCCGCTTCATCCCTTACACCTCTCACATGCGCATGATGTGCATGCGCGTGGAGCTCTATGGCTGCCCATGGACAGGTGAGTGCGAGAAAACGAGATCAGTCTATATGTGCTTCGATCATTTCATCGAGGAAGTACAGGTTGCGCGAAAAGTTCGCGGAGCGAAACTGAAACAAAGAATACCAAATTCTAAAAATCATTTTATTCTTCAATATAGTCTCCATTAACTTCAATACACTTGGTCCAATGGCTTTCCAATAATTTTATTCCATCGCGGAAGTGTGTTTCTGGAAGGTCTGCGAAATATGCCTCTACGGCTGCAATAGCTTCTTCATTCGACAAAAAATGCTTTCCACGGAGGAATTGTTTCAGGTTTCGGAACGGATAGAAGTCGCTGGGTGCGAAATCTGGCGAATACGGTGGATGATCAAGCAATTTGTACTTCAATTCATTGAATTTAGACATTGACAAAACACTTGTGTGAGCAGGTGCGTTGTCTTGGTGAAAAATGATTTGTTTGTGCCGCGAACCAGGTCTTTTCTCACGAATTTTTGCGTCCAACTGACCCAAAAGGTTACAATAATATTCAGAGTTAATTGTTTCACCTTTTCACCAGATAGTCAATTAACAAAATCCCTTTAGCATCCCAAAAAACTGATGCCAAAACCTTGTTTGCCGATCTTTCATGCTTTGTTTGCTTTGGAGCTGAACATTCAGCTTCAGTCCACTGTAAACGTTCCTGTTTCAATTTAGGATCATGATGATAGATCCAAGTCTCATCCATAGTTCTAAAACGACGTACAAAGTCGGTTTTATTCTTCTTAAAACGATCCAAATGACGCTGAGAAATTTGCTTTCGAGCGAGTTTTTGTTGAATTGTTAACGTATGCGGCACCACTTTTCCAAACACCTTTTTCATTTGTAATTCTTTATGCAAAATATGCCGTACCCGTTCATCTGAAATGCCTATGGTATGAGCAATTTCACGCGTAGTCACACTTGGATCTTCAGAAACAATAACGTGTATTTACTCATTGATTTCTGATATTGATGCGCTTTTTGGACGTCCACTGCGTGGATCATCTTCAATGCCTGTACAACCACGTTGAAACTCAAGTGCCCATTTACAAACCATTGTTTTTGAAGGAGCAGATTCCCCTAACACATTTACCATCTCGGAATAAATTTCCATTGCCTTTAAACCTTTTTTAACAAAGAACTCAATCACTGCACGCTGTTTCAAATTTTCCATTGCAAACAAATATACTGACACGTCAATTGGCTTGTAAGCACAGAAAGAATTGACAGATGGAAATGAAACCTAACCTAGGTTCATGTGAACAATGATTCTACATAACCGATTACAATTTATAATTCTACCGTTTACTCATAGATGCCGCTCTGCGAACTTTTCACGCAACCTGTATTACAGACGAATTGAAATTTTCCCGCAAATCAGAAAAACGTAACACGGTCGAAATACGAGATGTTCGAGCTGTCCGACAAAATTAACTTTGCGCGCTTGATGTGTCATTAATTGATTCATTCAGCGTAATACATACATTATTAATTTATCTCCTCGACCGATAATTAGAACATTCGTCGCTAAGTATGCGGATTATCGCCATCTTCGATATGTCTGACCTTCACGTATATTATCAAGGACATTCTGACTCTGAGTAATCTCTAAAAGATTTTAGTCGATACGCGCCGTTTGTTAAAAAAAGTATTGACAAATAAAGTTTGAAGATGATAACAATGGGTAGAATATGCATGTAGTGTACGCGTGAGCGGAAGAGGCTCCCTCCATCACGAGGAGCCTAATCCAACCTCACCCCGTATTATTGCAACTTCGGCTTTACATGAATAAAATTCTAGTACACTCGCTTTTTCGAATCCTTTTTGTTAATAACGGTTTCACAATCTGTAGCCGCCACTTGAAATCTAAAGGTTACTCAGGGTCATGACCTTGATACCATATATCAGAGATATCGCTGCTAGTACCAATAGTCTGCATTTATCCATTCACTTTATATTCGGTCTCTCGGCTGGCCGGATTTCCGGCTAATGGAGATTGGCGGCGCTGACAAAGACCCTCTTTTCGCGATTAAGCAGCACCTCGATCGTGCGTTTATTCGCTGGCGATCGATCAGTTGGCCACTAACGAGCTCCCATGAAATCACAATCGGCGTGCTGCGACCGGTTTGTGTTTGTCGTTTCATTTCGCGCCGTTCGCTCGACCCCAGCCGGCCGCAATAAATGAGAAAGATATCCCCCGCTACCCGAGCCGAAACAATTTTATTAGCGAGCGGGTGAGAAAACACTCGCGACGTGTAATATATGAAAATCTTAGAGAGCAATAGAGAGAAAGATAGTGAAATGAAGGAGAAAGGGGGGCGAGGTAACTTGATACTTTTTCATCGTCGCAGAAGGAAGCGACGCGGGGCGCGCGAACGAATGGCACGCCAATTATACGTAAGAGCGGCGGGGGTGGCGGCGGTGAAGACGGAGGCGGTGGCGGCTGTCTCTGCTGGCTCGTCGCGAAGACGAGGCTGAAAACAGGCGATGACGCGGTCCTCGCGGAATCGCTCGCGTGTATTATCATGCATTTTACATTTTACGTCAACGACACGCTCCGCTCGCCGGGAATTTCCTGACGAGAGAGACACCGCCGTAGCGACGCCGACGATAACTTAGATTTGTGCCTCGGATCCGCGATCGAAACAAGAGAAATGTATGTGGGTATCCTACGTATGTTCCTATGTATGTGTGTGTGTGTACGCGCGCTTACGTGTACGAAGTGCGCGACACGCGGAATTTATTCGACGCCCGTAACCGCCGCGGCAACTTCGGCTGCGGACGTGACTTCGTATTCTTCGTACTCGTTTCCGGTCGCCAGCGCGGCACCGAGCTCGCTTGGGTGGTATTAACGATGTTATCGTTACCGACGTTAATAATATCGCCGTTACGTGTAAGTCTCTTATAGATCGCTCTTCGTACAGAAAGCTCGCGCGAGCGCGAGCAGACGCGAGCGCAAGAAGCGGGCGACAAGGGGGAGGAGGAGGAGGAGGAGGAGGAGGGCAAGTTTAGCTGTAAAGGCGCGGGTTTATTCATCGTACTCGTTTTCGCCTGTGGAATCGTCGACTCGATCGCGTTGACTGCTGAGGAAATATTAATGACATCGCTGTCTTTCGGGGTATTGAGAATGTTCACCGTTCGGTAACGTCGGTTTTTCCTTTTGGAAAGAAACACGCTTGAGTCGAAATCTTCCTCGACTTTATATACGCGAGACGGCCCACTTCCAACGCGTTGTTTTTTAACGACCGCTCTTTTCGGCAGAATAAAATTGGATTTCCTTCGGCGAGCATGTCGATAATGTACGAGATAAATATATTATAAACGAACAGAAAAACGGGCTTTTCGAGGACCCCAGCTATGTTTCTCGGTTAATTTTCGATGGAGAGGAGATCGCTCTGGTAACGTTTTAACTCGCAATTAGTCGCGAATACGAAAGAGCGCTATGAAAAATTCGACAATTGCGGAAACCGATTTATTATATCGCTCGATATTTTCATCGAAGGGAAGACCGACCCCGAATCCGGAAAATCTGCCGTTACAAAATAAAACGGTACACACCTCACGTATATGTCTTAATGAAATTTTAACAATACAAATGACGGACCAACAATCTCTGCGGAATCATCATCCCGTCTCTCTCTCTCTCTCTCTCTCTCTCTCTCTCTCTCTCTCTCTCTCACGTCATTGCCTTTCACACATGAAAATATTCACGCCAGAAGACACCACGGGCGCGCGTGTCCGCTTCGGACGGCCGAAAATCGGAGGACTTTAATTTCGCGAGCCGTCGACTTCTGCCGTCTGGCCCGACTTGACGAGAGACACGTCGATGTCGGGTGTCAGTCTCTCGAATCTGAGATTAACTTAGATTTACGATCACGGTCGGCCGTGAGCCGCAGCTGCGTCTACATTAATCCAAGCCCGACGCGAAGCACGCGCGGCATCCGCTAACTGTGCCATCTGCATCGCGCCGAGCGCCGTTATATCGTTCGAACGCACAATTACGACGGCGCTGCCAATAATATTGACTTGCAAAATAAACTGTGACTTACGTACGGGCATTAAGCGGGGGAGGGGGGAGGGGAGGGGGGGCCCAGCCGTCCGCTCGCGCGCACATGCGAGAGGATTATACTAAAAGACGACGGCGGGATATAGAATTACGCGTGCCACAATTACCGTAATGAAACACTTGGGCTTCCTCCGGCGAGTCCCCTTATCGTCCCCCCTCGCCGACAACGGCGCGATGAAACCACAATAAACGGCCGCGGTAAGTAGTCACGAGCGTCCCGTCATTTTTCATCGCGCTCAGCCGCTTTTGATCCTGGTCGGCGTCGGGGGGCGATCGAGCCGAATTTATCGTGACGTGAGAAGCCGAGCAGAAATTCAACCTTGAGGCTGCCCAACAAGTTTGTACATACTATATATACAACAAAATAGAAAATGTAACGCTCACCTATTCTAGTGGCTATTCTAAATTCAGCTGACCGATAATCGAACGAAAGAAAGGACAATTATGAGAAAAGAGATGACGACGTTGTGATCGTTAACGAGTAACGCGACGTTCATTTGTGTTTCTTCGGGATATTTTTGTGAAATAGCGTGACCTCGATTTTGATCCACCGTCCGACCCAAAAATGCTAGTGGCGGTGTAGTAGTTGGATTATACATTTTAAAATAAACAACGCCATCTACTCCACGCTGAGAGAAAAAATATGTAAAGGATAAAAAATATTTTTCCAGTGGGGAACTGATAACGTATATTTGCTTACACTAATATACATATTTTTGCGCTGAGAAAAAAATATGCTCCAATTGGGAAAATAAATATTTTCTCAGAATCGTAACTCTCCGCAAAGAAGCGATTGTTTATTCTGCTTAAACAAGGAGAAATCACTCAACTTCGGTCGAGGTAAACAAATTAAAATAAAACTTACGTCTCAGGTTCTTTTTAATAAATATGTTGCCAGTACCCACTCTGCAACTATCTTTTTATTCTTTAGATATTTCCTCTCTCAGTGTCCGTGCAGTGATAGAGAAACGGCTAAATTCCGCTAATACAAAACAGATGCTACATTTCAGCGAGTAATCAGCCAATAACGAGCTGGCCGCGCTAGCTGCTTGCAGGCTTCCGGATCAGCTCGACTAGATACATTTTTCTACTCGGGCAATATCTCGGTCGCCTCGGGAAAATTCAGGGCGCGAGCGCGCGCGACCCTCCGCGCATATTCGCCGGCGGGACAAAGCCGCGAAACAATATCGTCCGTCGCCATTATCGGGGCCGAGAAAAATGCTCGGCTGATATGAACGGACGCGAGCGGAGAGCCTCGGCGACGCGAGTACCGAACCGTGTAACTCATTCGCGCTTATTGACGTCTGACACTCCGCCGACGCATTTGCTTCTGACATAAGTCGTCCGCCCCGGCGCGTTCTGAACGAAAAAGCAGGTGAGACGCCGCCGTCGGCGCGCCGACGGCGGCGAATCCCCGAGATCGTCGGCGACGGCGCCGAGACGTTGTCCCGGGTATCGTCTCGGGCCGATCCTCGAGTAATCTTCCGGCTGGTGAGATTAAAAATGTTGACCCTCGTTATTTTTCCCCGACGACGACGGCGACGCGCGCCACCCGGCCGGCCGCTTTTACCCGTAACCGTCCGCAATCTCATCACGTACTGTCGGCGAGCAGAAACGCTCGCGCGGTCCGACCACGTAGCAACGTGATGATGCATAGTTCACGAGCTTATATATTCTTTATACCCAGCTCTCCACCTTGTTCTTCCTTGCAGAGGGTCTCGTTTCGTATTCCATGCCCCAAGGAATCAAGAGGGGCTCCGAGGTTGACCTTTCCGACAGAACGTACGACGGCCGGGAAGAAGGAGGTTACCTCTCCGGGGGACTTGGTCAACTCGTCGACGGGCAAAAGGGTCCCGACAACTTCAGATTGGACGTCAGCGGCAACGGCAAGGGTAAGGAAGGAAGCAAGCAAGCAAGCAAGGAACGAACGAACGAACGAACGAACGAACGAACGAACGAGCCGAGTCTGGAGGGTGGAAGGGAGACGCTGCAAGGCGCACTCTTCGTGCTGGAACGAGATTAGCGCCGACGCTAGATCGTGTCTAGATTAGCGTGATAGAGCCGTCTCCGAGCCTCCCTCGCTCGCTCGCTCGTCTCGCCTCGCCTCGCCTCGTCTCGTCTCGTCTCGTCTCGTCTCGTCTCGTCTTGTCTCGTCTCGTCTCGTCCGACTAGGTCTTCTTATTCTCCGCCAGCCGGTATCGCACGCCATCCCGGCTCGTTAATTTCTCTTTCTTTGCGAAACCGAACCAACTGCGAAACCGAACAAGCGAAGCCTCGCGGCCAATCTCGCGACGTGGCCACGTCACGGGGAGATCGACTCAGGTGTATTCAAATTCGATGGTCGATCAATGTCGGCGACGAGTTGTCGGAACGTTCGATTTCACAACGATCGGATTCTTTATTGATATCGACGCTGCATTGACGACAGGTCCGCGCGATATTGTCTAGATATCGATTTGTCTAGATTCGATTCGTCTAGATATCGACATCTAAAAGACATCGCGTCGCTGTCGATTTCTACTGGATTATTGATGATCTAGTCGATATATGGATATGTTGATTCGACTTGGGTATGATATAAGCTGATTAAATCGTCGACATAATATATTCCAGGTATCATAATGAGATCTTGGAACGATCAAATCGATCCACATGATTTCAACTTGAGGTATCTTGGAAACATCAAATCGATCGTTCATCTCCGCACACGATTTCAGGCCGATCTCGACGTGATTTCGATTCGATTCTCGCGACTTGCGAACCCGGGAACGGAGACGATCGAACGTGAACGACGAGGAGGTCGAAACGATTATGTCAACGTTTCCGTGAGTGAGCGCGCGGCCGCACGATACCGTATCGCTGTGAAATACACATTTTCCGTGCCGTACGCGGCGGGATATAATTCGGAATATGCGGACGCGCGACGAAAATTTCGTTAAAATTTCCCGAATAACGGCCGCTTTTTGGGACGGGCATATTCGCCCGGTTATTTAATGAATTTTCAATTTGCACGCGTTCCGCTCGTTTGATTCCGCGGATCAAAAGCGTCGCCCTCCCATCCTCCCCCCCTGCCTGCGCTCCCAAGTCGATTCATCCCTTTTTACATCCGACTCGTTACATGACGCTGCACTCTGTGCTCGCCCAATACGATTGTTGGCCCGCAATCCGGAGCTTTTTTTTTTTCATTAGATAAAGCGACGGAATTTTAATGCGCCCCGATTGCCGGCATCGTCGTTCTCGTCGGGTCGGAGCCACTTCGTGGCTTTCACCCCCGGCCAAATGACCGTCGACATTTACTCGGCCGACGCGCGCTCGCGTGTCCGGAAGCGGTTTCTCGAGCAACCGGACGGTCGGAGGTGTAAAACGCTCGTCCTCGTCGTCATCGTCGCGAGATGCGCCCGCGCCGTTTTCGAGACACGCGGAATGAAAATGAAATTTTCCGTCGGTCGATTTCAGACGGAGGGACGCGCGAGCGCGTGTATGAGTCGCTCACACGAGTGTCGGTGTAGACGGGATAGTCGAAGAGGTCAGTAGAATCCGGAAAAGCCGCGAGCGAAAGAGCGAGAGAGAGAGAGAGAGAGAGAGAGAGAGAGCCGGCGGAGGAGTCCGGGCGCTCCGAAGCCAAACGTGTTTCACGGCGCGCTCGAATCTGTTCCAATTTACATTTATATTGAACCGCGAGCTAGGCTGCGAGCAGCCGACGCTGTTTACTCGCTTTCTAGATACATTTGTGTCTTTCCATTTACGCCATGGGACATCCTGGCCGCTGTCGTCCTCGTCCTCGACCACGTCGCAGTCGCTCGTAGTCGTCGTTGTAGTCGCGCTCGGATAACGCCAAGCCGGTGCACCTTCCACCTTCTTAAACTTTTAAACCCGGCAAAACTGTGTACACTATCTTTCTCTCTCTCTCTCTCTCTCTCTCCTTCCCCTCCTCCCCCCCTCTCTCTCTCACGACTCTCCTTAAGCTAGGAAACGTCGTCATCGCGCAGTCCAACGTCCTCGCCGAAACGCCACTCAGCTCCGACTTGCTCGCTCAAGGGATCGATATTCGCATCCACCGCGACGACCACGACGACGAAGACGAAAATGTCGCTTCGAAGACTGCTTCGAGCGGGCAGACACGAATGTTGCGAAGGAATCGCGCGAGTGGAGAACCGGCAAAGAATGAGAGCAATATATATATGAGCTTACTTTGTCGATGTTGCTCTCGTCGATAATGCTCTCACTGGTTGACCACTCGAGAGACTTGAGGACGAGGGGACTGCCCCCCTCCTCCCCACTTCGAGAAAATACGCGAGCGTGTGTATGGGGAGAGATATTATTAACAATCTGGTTATTATTTCCCTCGGAAAAGTCGCTCTCGTCGCGCGTTTTCGTTGCTTCACGTGAAGATTTATCGAGCGAGTAGCGAATACGCGGGCACGCGTTTTTATTAAAATGTTTATTAAGCTCCTCGCGGTCTCGAGCGACATTCGCGCGTCTCTCGCGCCGAACTGTACAATGATGAATGCTGTATGAGTTAGAATTATACGGCGCGGCGGTGTTCTTCCTTTTTCTTTTGTATTTTACCGAAACGTTGTATGAATTATGAAGTTTGAAATTTGCGATTTCCTTCATGGCCGCTTTTCGAATACGGACACGCACGCGATGTAGAATCGAGTGGGGTATGCGCGTGGAAAGTGACTTTTCGTCAAATCCTGCGTGTCATGGGGGTGGCGAAAAAATAGTGCGAGCTGTCTTATTAATCTTTTGCGGCCGCAAAGCAAACTACGTTTGATACGCGGAAAGGTAGGCGGTTTCAATTTTTTTCTGGTCTTAACGCGTTTGAAAAACGCGTTAAAAAAAATGTGAAAAAATTTATGAGATATTTCTCAACATTCTAGTTGATGGTGTCATAGTCGTTTTAGCAAAAATTGTTAATTTAAATATTTAATGAATATCTTATTTTTAATGAATTATTAACACAAACGAATAAGAAAGGTGAATTTCTTTAAAAATATGTAACTTTTTTTCTATAAAAAGAGGAAAAACGCTTTTAAAGCTTTTTACTTTAAGATTCTACTTTTACTTTAAGATTCAAGGAAAGAAATAACACTGATCGATATCTGCAAAAAAGGTGAATTATTCAAGAGGATCAAAATGAAGAATTTTTGAATAGGAATAATCGAAATTAAAACTGCGTATAAATATTAACATATCTTATATTTCGCGACAAAATTAATTAGATGAATTAAAAAATTGTGGTTTGACATTTTATGTAAAGTCACTTTGTGTACGTCGGTCGATAAACCAACCTTTAAATTGGGTAAAAGTGGTGCAGAAACGTACGAAACGCTAACAAATGTGTACGGGGATGAATGCATGTCCCGTGCACAGGTTTTCCGTTGGTTTGGCCAATTCCGTGACGGTCGTGAGGACCTTGCAGACGATGACCGAGCACCGCCGTCAAAAACCACTCGCAATGAAGAAAACATCGAGAAAGTCAAAGAAATTCTTCGAAGCGACCGCTGTGTGTCTGCCCAGATATTATCTGAGAGTTCAACAACGATTGTGAGCCAGAATTCGACGAGTTCGACCGGAATATCGAGAGCCAGGCAGTTGGTTTTTGTTGCACGATAATGCACCATCGCACAAAGCCATCATGGTACGTGAATTCTTGACCAAAAAAGGCATCATTGTTATCGATCATCCATCGTATTCACCTGATTTGGCTCCGTGCGACTTCTGGCTATTTCCCAAACTGAAATTGCCGATGAAAGGAAATCGTTTCGATATCATCCCGGTCATCCAAAAGACTTCGACCCCCCCCCCGCCATACTAAAGGCCATTCCAGCTGATAAGTATAAAAAATGTTTCGAAAAATTTGTTGAACGTTTCCGGCGCTGTATTGACTCAGAAGGAGACTATTTTGAATAAACAAGAATAAAAAATCAAAATAATAAACGCTTTGTATTTTTTTTAGACCAGTCTCGTTGGATCTGGGACAGACCGCGCAAGACAAATTTTATTAGTATCCGCGGTAGTTTGCTCGAATGTGTACGGTGATGTGTACAGAGTTTTATGATTAAGGCTGAAAGAAGACTCGTGCGTTGAATGAAAGCTGTGACGTACGAGGTGAAGTTTCGGAAGTGCACGGAGCAGACAGAACGGCTGAATCGACGTGACAGTGAACGAACCAAACGCGTTTCCGTTTCGCAGAAGACGGATTTTCAGTTCCTTAGAGCCGAATTCGGTTCATAGGGGCCAGAAATATTGTTTCCTTCATTATCACGCTGATTCGGCTAATCTCTTTCTTCTCTCTGTAAATGTACACTTCGAGGACAACTTTTCATCAACGAGTGACACAGTTATTTGACATTTCCATCCGGTCATTCGCGTAAATGTCTCTTCCCGTTCTTGAAAAGCATTGATTTCTCTCGCTCGAGAAGATAAATCCATGTCTTCCTCGTTCTCTCTCTGGCAGACCTCTGACAAGAAAGAAAAATCCCGAAACATCAATGCTCGCAGATACAGCGGCCGGAACTCTCGGGGGAAACTTGAAAACTGAAATTGCGCCCAACGAAGCTCGACGACGGTGTACCGAGGGCTAATTACGCGATTCATTACGCGATAAATGCTCGCGCGATTAATTCGCGAGGCCTTGTTGCACGACGTTGCAACTGATACGTTCGCTGTTTAACGAGCTCCCTGCCGCTCGTCCTCGCGAAATTTCCTGAGACACAACGGAAAAGAATTTTCAGCATCGCGCAATCTAACCCTCTCCCATTAACATGCACACACGACGCGCGGCTGCATCAGCGCGCTGTTTCTCTCTTACTCCCCTGCACAAGGAACTTCAGCGCCGCTTAATAAAACATCGATCGAAGCTCGTCTCGTCCGCGGACGGATCGGCCGCTCGCGCGGACGTCCTTAGTATACTGCTTTACGAGCATTGTGCGCTCGTAACTGTATAGCGTCCAAAACGGTTTAAAGGAGGGGGGAGAATCATCAAGCGACGCTTGGGGGATGAGAACGAAGATATACACACGATACACCTCCCGAGCCGGGGTGGTAGTTATCTTACGATCCTCGTGAAGGTTCAGAATTGATGGTAGATAGCGACCGAAGGCGGCGACACGGCGACGGCGGCAACGGCGGCGACGACAGGAAACTGGAAACTATTTACTCGAGGGACGATATTAAGGGTAGGAAGGGGATGCTGAGAAGAGGCGCGGGGGTGGAGGAGGAGGAAGGAAAGAGCGAAGGAGCGCCTATATGAAAGCGGGTAGGTCAGGGCGATATAACGCGGACGCGCGCGAGCCCCCGGTATATTGTTGGAAACGGAAGGGACGATCGCGAGAGGGTGAGAGGGTGGCGGCGGTCTCGGGAATCCGAGAACGCGAAGTCGCGAGCGCATGCGAGCCGTGGCCGCACGATGCTAACCGCCGCCGCGATCGAAATTCTTGCGGAGTTTTAATAAACCGTGTAAGGTTCTTACCGGGGCGTTAGACGAACTCACGGCTTCGACCGACTCACGGAGTCGGGGAGGACGGAGAGATGGAGAGAGAAGGGAGAAGGAGAAAGAGAGAGAGAGAGAGAGAGAGAGGAGAGAGAGAGAGAGAGAGAGAGAGGAGAGAGAGGAGAGAGAGGGAGAGAGTCTTCCTTCTGACGATGTCGAAACTCGGGCGCGGCTGAGGGAAAGAGAGAGAGAGAGAGAGAGAGAGAGAGAGCTCGGGAGAGCCTCGTTTTTCTTCCACCTCCTTTCCCCCGCAACCGGGCCCCTCTCGGCCGTGCCCTCCTACACTTTTCAGGGATTTCGTCGAGAAGCAGAGATAAAAGTACGAAGAATTTATAGCGCAAAGAACGGATCTCTCTGAGGCACTGGAGCGTGGGATCTGTACATCAACGTTTCGCAACATGTAGAGAGATATCGAGGGGCAAGAAAGAGAGGGGAGGAGAAGAGGGGTAACGAGAGCAGAGAGAGAGAGAGAGAGAGAGAGAGAGAGAGAGAGAGAGAGAGAGAGTGAGTGAGGGAAAAAAATATAAACAGGTGGGACGAGTGGATACGCAGACTCGTGGCGGTTCTCTTACGAAGCTTTAATTCATCGTCGTGTTAAAAGACGAAGATGAGGACGAGTCGTTCGCCTCTGAGGCGTTAATGAAGTCCGACAGTCTGAAAGGCAAAACAGAAATACGGAGGAATCCAATTATCGAGCGAAAGCGTGCCTTCCTCTCGCGAGAGACGGCTGCGCGTGCATGTTCGTTCCTTCCCGTCTTTTAATTTTTGCATTATTAATTCCTGGGAAGTGCGCGGTGAATGACGAACACGGCGGCGGGCTAATCCGCGGCTATTTGCGCGCGTGTGGCTCCGAAATGGGTGAACGCGAGCAGCGAGGTTATCGCGGTTACCGCGGCGGCGTTTAGAGATTTTCGGGGGTAATGCTTGAAAGTAACTGGGCCGAGAGTGTATATGTGTGTGTGTGAGAGAGAGAGAGAGAGAGAGAGAGAGAGAGAGAGAGAGAGAGAGGGAGAGAGTGAGGGGAGAGAAAAGAGAGATAGGAGAAAGAGAGAATGAGAGAGAGAGAGAGGCAGGGAGGACAGAGGGAGAACGTTTCTGAGAAACGCATAACATGGCGCGCCGGCCAGGTTTTAGGGTTATTGCAGTCCATTTTCAATCCGCATATTCCCGCGGGACACGTGTGTTTCCACATGTACTCATATAGCGGGATCTAATGGCGAGACTCGCGCAATAACCTGCCGCCGGCGCAGCTCGAAACTCTTCCGTACCGCGTAGCACGCTTCTCGCGCTTCTGCTATATACCGAGTGGAACATTTCCGGGAGAAATGAAGCAAACGAGAGGGAGAGAGAGAGAGAGAGAGAGTGCGGGAGCGATGAGAGGGGGGGGGGAGAGAAAGAGAGAGTAACAGAAAGCACGAAAACAAACTCGAAACGTAATTAACGTTTCGAGGTAGCATACGAGTCCCACGCGTAAGCCCTCCCCCCGCCCCTAACAACTCGCGAATCTGAAACGGGTAATTTAAATTCTATTAAGAGAACACTCGCGGCGTTTGTGGGAGAGTTACTCGCGCGGCCGAGGGAGATAAAGGGAGAGAAAGAGAGAGTGTGAGAGAAAAAGGCAGAGAGAGGAGAGAGTGGGAGAGGGATGGAAAAACTCTCCTTAAATTTCCAAAAAGTTCCCGCAAAAGTTGCCTGATACGCGATGAGCGCCGCTCGCGAATTATTTCAGTTATCGAGTTATCTTTATGAAATTACCTTCGTTGTGCGAAACGGCAACATCACGACGGTATTCCCGTTCGTTCGTTCGTTCGTTCGTTCGTCCGTCCGTTCGTTCGTTCCTCGAAGACTCTAACTTGCGCGAAACTTCTTCCGGCGTTGCTTAATTGGAAGTCAGATTTTTCGTCGGATTTTCACGGCGAAGCGAAACCTCGTCCTGTCGTTCTCGTGACTATATCTCCCCCCATCTCTCCCTATCCCTCTTAACTGATTCATTCATTAGCCGTCCGTGGAAACGCGTTGCAGCATATTTTGCAATTTTTTCGTATAATGATGATGACTTTGCCGCAAAGTTTATTCGTAATATGGGAGAAAAGAAGAGTGAGAAGACGAGAGAGAGAGAGAGAGAGAGAGAGAGAGAGAGAGAGAGAGAGAGAGAGAGAGAGAGAGGGAGAGAGAGAGAGAGAGGGGGGGGGGCAGAGACAGATTCGTTAATTTGATACGCGTTTTCCGTTTTCCGTTTCGATCGCCGCGTCCGAATAAATTCGATGTCACGCACGGATTGTCTATCATTCGCATTACAGATTTTATTGTCTTGTTTATAGGTGCGTGCGCCGCAACCATAAATGGCACGCCGCATCGTACAAACCGCGACATAAATTCCCTAAATACCCACCTCCTGCCCACCTTCTCCCCCCGCCGTCAACCCCTTTAATTCAAATGCACAGAGCAGAATCCTTTTATACGCGACGCGTGCGTTACGATTTTTTTATTGAATATGTTATCTGTGATACGCGCGCTCGCGCACGGGACAAATTTGAAATAACTGCAAACCGTTCAATCATCCTTAAGTATTGGAAGGTACACGCGCGTATCCGACGCGTTTACATATCTGCAGAGAATTTACATCGATATGCAAAGAGAACGTGTGAGAAAGAGAGAGAGAGAGAGAGAGAGAGGGAAATACAGAACGTTATGGAATTAGCGAGCATAATGGAATTTTGCGGGCACGTTTTCGCGTTTCTGTCCAGAATCGATTTCTCGTCCCTTCGAGGCTCTCAACTCCCGTCCCGCACTTTTCGTTAAAGCAAAAAAGGAAAACGGCTCGTCGGCCACAAAAATCAGTTGCAGAATTCGGTCGTAATTTTTCGTTTGAGGCGACCGCCCCGATTGGCGTTACCGAGTAACCTGATCGTGCGAATAAATGAATGAATTAATAACATGCGCGTTTTGAGCTAAAAGTGCGCAAAGCCAGGAAACTTAGATGATACGCGAGGCTTTCATTCCGCTATATTTTTCAAACTTCCCTAAAAATTTTAATTGGTTCATGATACTTGCTCAAAACCTCACTATAATACAATTACAATTACAATTTAATTTTAGAGAGGTTAGTAAACAATTGCACAGATCTAACGGACATTCGATATTGACTGTTAATTTTTAAATAACTATTCGAACTATCATCGTCAGCGATACGCCTGTTACATTAATTGTGTTTTATTAACAAATTAATTATGATTAATTAATTATGACGTTATATGGATGCAATCGCCACGAATTTGGTCGCGCCGTCACCGACCTCGCCTGGTCGCTCGCGAGGATTCTCTTGAGCGCTCTCGCGCGATTTTCCGACGCGAAGGATGCGTCGACGGGACGCAACGCGCCCGTGTCGACGTTCCTTAAGGAATAAGCGTTATCTTAACGGATAATCCGTTTGTTCCCAGGCTACGAGTGGGTCGGCTGGCGGAACGACACGCCCAACATGCTCGGACGTCCGGTGGAAATAACTTTCGAGTTCGACTACTCGAGGAACTTCACTGCCATACACTTACACATGAACAATTTCTTCACGAAGGACGTGCAGGTATCGGCCCCCGGCCGCCGTTACCGGTATTATTTTGAGAGTTACGAGCGCGCCCGGAACTACCGTAAATTTCGCGATCGCACACATTTCTCGCGCGACGCCTTGGTGCTTTTGAGCGGCCGTTTAAAAACATTTCCTCGCGATTTACAGCGCGGTAATTCTTGCCGGCTGCTCCTGAGCTTTTCGCTATTTCCATCGACGACAACGACGACGACGACCTCCCGTCTGATCGCGCAGTCGAATTAAGGACTCTCATTCGCGCAAAGTGCGGCGCCTAAAAGCGTGTTTCTCTCGTCGCCGTGTAATTCAGCGATAAACTCGCGCGAACGTCTTTTTATGCTTTATATCGATTGCAACACGCAATGAATATAAACAAGTGTCAAAAGGCTCGCGGAAGATGTCGGATCGCCGATGCTTTCGTTGACTCGAAGGACAAGTCGTTTCACAAGCGCGGAGTCAGGTAGTTGCTTGAAAAATGGCGGGCAATGAGATAAGAAAAAAAATGTACTGAGATAAGAAAAGGGTAATCTCTCAAAAAATTGGTCATCCTATGACCATTCGTGTATAAGATCTCTTTGCTTAATCAAATATTTCATAATTATAATAAAGAAAATTTAATAAAACCTTTTCGTAAATAGAATGGGCCATTATCACACACCCTTCTCTCTAAGAAAATAGTAGTAGCGAGATGTTACATAAGCTTATCATTTATCGTTAACACTGACTTGGAAAGATTCTCAGGAAACGCTTCCCTCGACTGGTCATTTCACGGTTCAATTATAGTCGCGAGTATCAGACATTTTCTGCCCTCAGCGCATTTTCGCTAGACACGGCGGGCCCGTAAATTGCCCGACCGCCGTCGACAAGCGACGGATCCAAAAGCTGCGTCAACAGAATCAACGGAAGAAACCCGAAGCAATCCGAGCAACTCTCGCGAGCCGCCGATAGAACGCGCATGACCGGCTTATCACGTTCAAAAAATAACACACCTCCGACCGCGTGTTTCCTCGATCGAAGGGGCGCGTTTCCGCGCCTCCTTCGTCCGAGAGCGCTTCGGCGCGCGCTCGTCGCACAAGAATGACTAACGCGATACGTCCTCGGGCCGCCGGCGGCGCAGGTTTTCTCCTACGCGAAGGTCTACCTCGGCACGGGCGGCAATCAGTTCACCGGCGAGCCCGTCCACTTCTCTTACATACCCGACCAGGTGCTCGAGCAGGCGCGCGAAGTCACCATCAAGCTGCACTCGCGCGCCGGTCGTTTCCTCAAGCTGCAGCTTTACTTCGCGGCGCGCTGGATCATGCTCAGCGAGGTAATCTTCGAGTCAGGTAAGACGATGGTCCCTTCCCTTTCAACCCTTTGATTTCTCGCCAATCCCCACCCCCACCCACGTTCCTCAATCGATTTATTAGGTTGGTGCAAAAAAATAATTGCGGTTTTTATCATTTTTAATTTGGCGCCGATTTTTCTGGTTGCTTTTCCGTTCTATCTTTTCCAGAATTCTATCTTGTAAGAATAAGCAAACTTGTTTCCCGTTGGCAGAAATGTGTGCAGGCCAATGGTCTATATTTTAATTAATAAATATAATTTTTAATTGATATATGCGTTTTTATACTCGATGCGTAAAAGTCGCAATTATTTTTGCACCAAACTAATATTTCCCGATGTCGTTATTGTCTCTCGTAACACTCGCGAGGAAAAGCGAGACACCCTTCTTCCGCTACCCATCTTCTCTCTGTCTCGCCGCATTCACTTTCACTTTTGTCTCACACCCTCACACTCTCTCTCGCTACTTAGATTCCCGAGCTCTGCTCTCCTTTCTTCTATCTCTCGCATGCGCGCTCGCGCTTGTAGACATGCCTTTAGTTAAACGGAAAATCAGAGCAGGCGGCCTAAAAAATCGGGATCTAAAAATGGAGCAGTTTCGAAATGTCTGAAGAACGAGCGAACGATCCGACATGATTTTCAATTTTAAGTAATATATTTTCAACGAGGATATGAGCTCGTCGGGGATGCCGCCGCGTGGGAAGGGCGAAAGTAAATCGTTGCTCTCTCTCTCTCTCTCTCTCTCGCACGCACGCACGTGTGTCGCGGGTTTGCAAGCTTCGCAAGGAGAAAAATGATACCGACGAGGGCGCGGGGGTGGGTAGTTTCGAAAGACGCGCGCGAAATTCAGACGAAGCTGCGCTCGCACGTCGTTCAGCTCTTAATGAGTTGCCGCGAGAACGTTCGCTCTCCTCGTCTCCGGATGTGGAATATTAACGCGAGAAAACGTCCAATATACGTCGGTTGAAGCAAGTCGGTTGAGAGACGCATCAACCGTAGACGCTTCCTCCCGTCGTCCTGTTTTTCTAACATTCCGAATAATTTCGAATTATTTCAAGGGGGCGGCTCACCCGTGACCGACATTGGGAAAACTATCTGGTGTTAGGTTGGTGCAAAAAGTTTGTCAAATATAACACAGAAGAATGAAATGGCCCGGTTTCAATGGATTAAACGATTTCTTAATTTCTACTGGCGCTCACTTTATTGATTTTAATAATTTTTACGGATCGAGTGAACAACATCGACTCGGTATTTTCCAGGACATTCGACCTGGACTTTTCACCTTCCTCTCTCATCATTCCGAAAATGGACAGGTGGACAAATCAACTTGCATCAACCTAATATTCGCAAATGTACTTACTTAGCGAAATAATGATAGTCACGAAAATCACTTTTGTTGTATAAGATATATGCACAATTTTTGGCGATACATGTAACGAGGTTATTATTGAGTTTAATGACGACAGGCGCTTCATCTGCATACGAGCATTCGTTTGTTACTCTTACTTTTTCGTTGGAACAAGAAATGTATGATCGGTACCGAACAATGCCTCTCTGTGTAATTTTAATCAGACCGTTCATCGATTTCCTTTCAACATACGATACCGTCATGTCTAATTGGTTTAAAGCTATCACACGTAACAAATGAGAAATCCAGCGGTAACAGCGAGCCGATGGAGAACGAGCTGACGAATATACGTATCACAAATCGCATTTATTTACCGTATTCCTCGGTTATTCCAACTTTATTTAAGCTTCGAGATAATCCGCGGAAATCAACGTATCCATGACCAACAGGGCGAACGCGGCGGGCTGCTCGAAACGAGGCGGAGGAGGAGGGGGAGGCATCGCTCGCGATTCCGCGATCGATCGAACGACAATTTCCCGGCCGGAAGTGGTCACCACCGTACGAACCAGTGAGCGCGACAGACATTTAAAGTTCCCGAGATCGTTTAGTCCCCGCGTTGTTGCCCCCTCCGACTTTAAAGCACTGCGGAGAGCAAGAAGCAGAAGTATCCGCGGCACGTTGTGCGAATGAGAGCACGTGGTCGCGGACCGGAAACAAAACTTACCACTCGAGCGCGCTCACACCCACACACTCGCAGCCGCACCCCCCCCCCTCTCGCACCGCACACCCAAGCACACATACTTCAAAAAGTTCCGCCTCGAAAAGCCGGATCGTTGCGCACAACCCTAACAGCCGAGAGAGAGAGAGAGAGAGAGAGAGAGAGAGAGAGAGAGAGAGAGAGAGAGAGAGACAGAGAGAGAGAACGAAGTCGTCGTTAATCATTCTCTCAGTGCCGCCGTGTTCTTACGTTTCGCGAAAGATAACTTCGGTCGTGTAACACTCGAGCGAGGGCTGATTTTCTTTGTCACCTCTCGGCCGGAAACCTACCCTCCTGCCATATAAAACTCTCGCACGTACCGCTCCTTCTTTTCTGTCTTTTTGCCCTTCCCTTTCTACCGCACACGCGTACATGTGCGCTCTCTCTTCTCTCTCTCTCTCTCTCTCTCTCTCTCTATGCGTATATATGTGTACGACGATATATGGAAGTGGTCGCATATGCGTGTATTTCCAACGCGCTGCATCTCTCAATGAAGCGCCGTGTGCACGCTATTTTAATTATCGGAGGTTCATATCGGAAAAGGAGAGAGGGGTGCGCAAAAAGGTGCGCGCGCGCCGGGTATTAATATTGATGAATGAGGCGCGAAGGGAATCTTTCTTTTTTCTTTTTTTGAAGAAATAATAAGAAGCCCACCTCGGTAATTTTATGAACGAACGATGCGTCATAGAGTCGCTCGCACGCTTCTATTAATAGGGAAACGGAAGTATCGATTGATACGTGGCGATAAATAACGCTTGTTTTGCGCTGCCATTATTATTATATCTCCCGAATGAACTCTCGCCGGATGCCTCCGCGAAGGGCCGCACATTGGCGGAGTCATGTGATCATTGATCGTTCCCGAGCGTGAAAGGGATTTTTTCAGACATAATAACGGCCGCTCGGTGATAATTTTACGTACGAACGGAGTTTAATAGAGTCGCGAAGCGCGTGCAAGCGCGCGTTTATTAATAGAGAGGCTATTATGTCCATTGATCCTTGTTAATAGTTGACAAGCGTATTATCATTATTATTATATTTCCTCGAAATAAACTCTTCTCTCGTACGGTTCCGCGATCAACAACACGGCAATGACGTCGTGCGATCGCTAATAGTTTCCGAGCATGGAGGGGATTTTTTCAGAAATAATAAGAATCCTTCGTATTGATAATGCCTTTTGAACGGGCAGAGTTTCAGCGCAAAGCAAAATATTTTATCGCTACGAAACGTGATTATTATTCAGTTTACCTTTCCTCTTTCAGGTAATAATTACCTTCAACAAAGATTTTTTTTATAACAGTCTCGAAAAGAATATACTCATCGAAAATTTGAGAAAGACTCATAATATATGTGTTCAAAGGAAGAGTTGATTTTTTTACATTACATAAGAGTTGATTTTAAGAATACAAAAGTGTATGTAGAGAAGAAAAGGTAAGCCGAATCTTTCTGCTTCAGTTTATCGTTCTTCGTTTATCAAAGTTTACTAGCATCCGTAAGTTATCTCGATCAAATTTGATACTTGTCATAAATTTGCGGATGACAGGAACTTTTGAAATACTCGAGAGAGACGAGCAACGCTTACTCGAAGATGCAACGTGCATCTCCTCGTGTATATCAACAGACCGTATCGATCGATCCGTGCCCGGTAATCAACACTCGCGTCGTGCCGTCATTATTATTATATTTGCCGAAATGAACTCTCCTCTCGTGCGCTTCCGCGACGAGCAACGCGGCACACGGCGGCAGCGGTGACGATCGTTAATCGTTTCCAACGTCCGGGTCGTTCTATACATCGTATTCCGCCCTTTCTATTCTCAAAACAACGGCTTTGTTTGCTCGGATAGAAAATAACTCGAATCCCTATATAGATCGGCGTAATCCATACGCGGGAAATAGTACACAACGGAAAATACCGTGCCACTCGCAGCGATGCGACCGGAAATTGTGCCGAACTACATCGCGCTCGCGCGCGAGATACGGCGGAGCTTTATTAAACATTTATCAGCTCGCGCTGCAACTATTACAATTACGCTACCCTCGCGCGGCTGACGTAAGGGGAACTTTAAATTCCGCTAACAAGGCCGCGGATTCCGATTACCACAGGAAAATAACAGCCTCTTCCCTCCTCCGTTGGCGTGTTAGAGCATGCGTTAGAGCGCAGTTAGAGCGTGACTTTACTATCAAAACAGTATAGTTAGAGGCACGAGAGAGGGTTGTAACGTTCTTTTTCTTTTAACGGGCTTTCCGATGCACCTGTACCCGATAGAAGAGAATTTGTATTCTAATAAATCTCACAAGAAAGATTTTTCGATTCGAATTAGAATCTTTGATTTAGGAAACTTGAAAAAAACATGAAATATCCGAACGTTATTTATCAAAAATTGCTGACTAATCGGTTGGTTTGTCTCGTCCTATTTCTTCTTTTCTATTTGAACGACGATTTTTTATTCAAATTCGAACGCGTCTCTAAAGTTTTTCGAAATAAAAGTGGGACGATCTTTCTGCCATTAATTATAAAACAGTGTTATAACTAATTAGTAACCATTGTAAAGACAGCGACAATAGAATAATTTAAGGACGTTTCGACATGCTGGAGATCTCTGAAATTTTTTTTTTTCTTTTTTTGATAATTTAGCACCGTTATGTTAATATCTATCAACCGTTACTACTTAACAAGAGTAGTACTCGTGAAACAAATGAAAATTACACCAGCTTTGCTCAAGCTGATGAGAAGAGACTTCTGCAACTATAAATTAAATTTGCTTCCGAAAGTCTCTGCGTTTCACGATCTCCGCTGTTCTGTGTGATTAAAGGAAAGATCAAAGTATCCATTTTAACCCTTCCGCTACGACGAGGACCGACCGAGAAACGATCGCGCGATTTACAAACGATCGTTTCTCGATTATAGTCGCTTCACGACGGACGGCTATAGACTCGTCGTCGCTAATAAAAAGGAGAATTATTTGATGAAACATTAAGCAAGAAGAAAAAAAATAAAGGCCGATTCGAGCCAATATGTAGCAGCAGGTGAGCAAAAATTGCAATGTCGCGTACCAGCAGCTAAAAAGTGAATCGATTACCTTAATTGAACGAAATTTAAGACAGATTTAAAGTACCGATCAATTAAAACGAAATGACTATTTGTCTACCAGCGTGTCGAGAAATCCTTAAATCACCCGAACGACAATAGTACCAGCATGAAAGCAGTGTAAAGGCTGATTCTCACTACCCCGTTAAAACACCAATCAAACCGAAACGATTATTTTCCCAACAACGTGTCGAGAGACCTCCAAGTGCCAATTTCACCATCTTTGATTAACTCAATTGGCCGATTACATGCCAACCATAATTGGTCAGTTCCGGTCAATTCTGCCCAACGATAAATGCGATCGGCCAATTCCAACGGAATAATCGGTTGACTAAGTTAATCAAAGATGAGGTGAAATTGACTCGAAAATCAGCCTAACCATGAATAGTTAATAGCAACATAAAAGCAGCGCGTAACGGCTGACTCTCACTATCCGTTTAGACGGCAGATATGTAGGAGTCCAGTTCGACCGTCCAATTCGACTGGTTTATCCGATGTCGATGGGGGGCCGCCGATCGGCCGCCAATATTTTTTTTTTAATCCGTCTCAAACGACCCGGGACGTAACTTAGTTGCCGCCACTGGCCGGCCGGTCAGCCAGTCAGCTGGTGGCTGGCTGGCACTCCGCTGTGGACCGCGGTGCTTGCGAAACTTCCGTGTCGCTTCGTTGCACCGGCCACACCAGCAGAGAGAGAGAGAGAGAGAGAGTTGGGGGGGGAAGGGAGAGGGAAAGAACGACTACGTCGTTAATCATTCGTCGTACTCCGGTGCTTCGTAGCGTGAGCGCGCGCGCACGATAAGTTGGACCGGCCGGCCCAGAGGCGAGCAATGTTCCTCGTCACCTGTATACCACATAACTCGTATTCACGTCGTGCGAACGCTTCGTTGAGCCGCGTCATCGATAGGAAAATATATCGCTCCCCGCGGCGGCGGCAACGGCAGTGGCAACGACGGTGCTGGAGTTTTCCAGCGAGTGAGCGAGCGAACGAGCGAGCGAGCGAGCCTGCAAGCGACGAGCCAGCGTTCGTTTCCCCGCTCGGGACCCCGAAAGCTTTCGAGTGAGAACGAGAGAGAGAGAGAGAGAGAGAGAGAGAGAGAGGGAGGGAGGGAGGGAGAGGGAGAATGGAGGAGGAGAGCAAGAGAGCAATTTCGCCCACTGCTCGATTAATTTTCCTTTTTATGAGTGGCGGGGAGCGAAGCGCGAGCCAGCGCGGCGCGTCTAACCAGCCGAAAATTGGAATATTTTCTGGGTGTCCATTAGTCGATAAACTCGCCGGCCGCGGCACTAATTTTCGGTTTACCTAACGAGAAATTCCGGCTGCGTGTGACGCGAATTAAATCCCGCCGGTGTGACGCGATATTTGTTCGCTCCCGGGCGATCGATATCGTAGAAAACTCTATCCCGAATACAAATGAAATCCTCCGTGGGGCCACAAAGAACCCCAGGGTGGGCGGCCCCCGACCGTGACGCGCACCGCACCGCTCTCTCCGCCGATGGAGTCGTCGGAAATGGCGTGTACACGCTGTTTAATTCGCTTTCGAGCGCTTGCACCAGCACCGACGCGATCCTCGCGATACTCCGCCGACGATCGAATCCGCTTTCGGTGGCCGGCGAATTTCACGTCGTCGTCGACGACCGGCCCTGCTGAGTTTTCGATGGAATTGCCGGATAGACCTGGTGATTCCGACGACGAACGACGACGACGACGATTATGCTCTCTTTCTTTTTCTCCCTCTCTCTCTCTCTCTCTCTCTCTCTCTCTTTCTCTCTGTCTCTCTTTTTCCTCCCTTCCTCAACCTATTTGCGTTATTGGGAAATTTAGAAGATATATGCATATCGTTGGATTTCCCTTTTCTTTACATTGACGTTAAAAGGCGAGGGGAGATAATTACTACCACCTATTTAATTAAAAAGAAGATATTAACAATTACCTTCAGATCCTCGAAACTATTCCGTCTAGAAAGCAGCGTTATCGCCATATAAGCCGAGCGCTTCTGTGCATTTTGTAATTTCCGTTGAACGAATTTTTCTTCAATTTCGAAAATATTCCAGACGCTAAATTATTGTTTCAGCCTGTGTTACAGAATAAATCTTGTCTTTTTTTATTTACAAAAAACTCATAATTTTTGTGCTTACACAAGCAATCAGAAATGCTTTCCGTGATAATTGCCGAGCAAAATGAACGGTTATATACGTTTCTCATGCAAATCGACCGACCTTTTTCAGGGATAGCGACATATATTGCGCGCGTTTAAAAACGCTTCATTGTTTCCTTTTCAATTTGAGAACATTACTGGCATAAAATATAGCCAACTTTGCGGGGTGCGAAATAAACATCCGCTGCAATGTGCCGCAAGAAATCCCGTCGGAAATCGGTAAATATCACATTCATGTCACCTGAGAACCTGATTTTCTCTGATCACAACAAACGCATCCCTGAAGAGGGACTCGGCAAACAGACTCTAAGCGTCTCTCTCTCTCTCGCTCTCTGTCGCACGCGTTACGGGAGACGCTTTTAGTCGCAGATAATTTTCACGCGCGCTCCCGACGAGCGCATATTTCGCACGGATTTCATTAGCCCTCCGATCCTGAAATGCGCAGTTATCTCCGAATGGAACAATACCGAGGACGAGGAGACGAAGAACAAGAGTGCCATTGTGCTCGCGACCGGCAGCCCCTATCAGAATAACGAGGGTCCACTGCAGAGGGACGAAGTGAAGGCCACTTTTAATAAGGAGGAGAGCAAAGATAACGCCTGTAAGTCTACTGCCGATCTTTTCCCCATTGTTATTCCAGCTAAGCTACGTTCATAATTTTCCACGTAATTGACGCTCCTTTCTCAACCGACCCTTCTCGCTCGTCCTCTCCTACTCTCGCCTCGTCTCATTGTCACATTCTTTTCCCCGCAATGAGCTCGACGCGCATCGCGCGGCGACCAACGAAGATTCGTTAACGGGACGTTGATCCCCGTCGCGGGCGAACCGCGTGTGTCTCGCGAACGCACACGTGACGCCAAGCGTGACGCGAATTCCTCGACGACGTCGGTTAAGAGTCGGCCGAAGAAGCAACAAAGCCGAGACGATTCAGAGGATTGAATTTCGCTTGTTGAGAGACACGCGCGCGTGCGTTCGGACGCGTTTAATTGTGTCCTAACGCCAGCGGAAACGTAACGGACGTTATCCCGCCGCGGAATCTGCCGGCGACAAAGCGAGAAGAAATCTCGTCGCACATGTGCACGTATAATTGACGGGCGTCGCATACTTCGTAACGCCTTGACGCAAAGTCAACCACTGTGGCATGTTTGCCGCTCCGATTGATTCGCGTGCGCACGAGAATTCTTCCCCGCCGACACGAGCGAGTTCGCGACGAAGGCGATCAAGCGACGCGGCAGCAAACGCGCTAAATTCATCCGTCGAGTCGCCGGCGAGAGCCGAGATTGCCGAGTGATCGGCCGGACGGTCTTGGTGAATAAATAATCGCACAGCTCCCGGCGACGCGACGGAGCGCGTCGCGATCCTGCGCGCGTCGCCGGAGAAATCTCCGCCCGCCGTTCGCGCGCGACGTCGTTACATCGGGAATTAATGGAGAAACGGTGTGACACGTCGCGTCGATCGGGGGTCAGAGGTGGCGAACGGTGAGATCGGAAGGAAGAAAAAACAAAGAGAAGAACGGGAGACACATCCCGAGAACGAGGGACAAAGAGAGAGAGAGAGAGAGAGAGAGAGAGAGAGAGAGAGAGAGAGAGAGAGAAAGAGAAAGCGGGCGAACGGTCCCAGGAACAGTTCTCGAAAGCCCGCTCGATTGCCTGAAAAAGGAGCGAGCGGCCAGAAGAAGAAGAAAAGAGCGATCACTCCCCCTTGTCCGTCTGCGACCCCCCGTCCCCTCGTTTCCCCAGAGAGTTTGTTAACCGACGGGGAGAACCGCGCCGCCCTCTTCGTCCATCTTTCTATCCCCGCCATAACGGCAAATAAAAGCCGCGCAATTAACCTGATTAATTCCTTAACTCGACCGACCGAGCCGGCCTGAGCGAGCGATCGAGCGACAGAGAGAGAGAGAGAAAGAGAGAGAGAGAGAGAGAGAGAGAGAGAGAGAGAGAGAGAGAGAGAGAGAGAGAGAGAGAGAGAAAACTTGCGATAACGGGACGCGGTCGGAAGCGACTACGGGCGGTATCGAAGGCTGTCGTGGGGAAAAATAAAGAAAAAAACAAGGAAAGGGATCCATTAACGAAACTTCTCTTATGCTAATTGATTACACTCCGATATCTTGGCAAGCAAGGAGGCGGAGAAAGAGAGAGAGAGAGAGAGAGAGAGAGAGAGAGAGAGAGAGAGAGAGAGAGAGAGAGAGAGAGAAAGAGAGGGAGGGAGAGAGAGAGAGAGAGAGAGAGAGAGATCGATGGCGGAGCAATTTGCATCTCGTCGTCGCCGCTCGACTCGCGACTGCCGCGGGATTTTTCAATCGCCCCGACCTCGCCGCGACATTGCGGAAATTTTTTCGTACGCGATACGCTAGCTCGTCTTCCCCCGAGTTCGCGGCGCGGTTCTCGCTCTGCGCGCGTTGTGTACGATCGGGCTGCTTCCCGCTCGCGTGTTACCCTCTGCACGCCGGGAAGCTCGCCCAAGGAGATCGGCAAGAAAGCGACGCGAAGCCGGGCGTTATGTTTCTCCGCGCTTCAAGCACGCGTAACGTCCATTTCACTCGTTACGCATTATTCCGTTACGAAAGGAGAAAGGGGGGGGGAGGGAGAAAGAAGGAAGCTACTAATGTATGCACGCCAACGCGGAGGTAATAATCCGCGCGTGGAAGGGTAGTTGGTCGGTCGGTCGGGGCGAGAGAGAAACGGAGGAGCTTGAAAACGTTTGGGAGAGTAACATTACGCTTTCTCGTAAAGCTATCGTTTTCTCGAGAGAGAGAGAGAGAGAGAGAGAGAGAGAGAGAGAGAGAGAGAGAGAGAGAGAGAGAGAGAGAGAGAGAGAGAGAGAGAGAGAGAGGAAAGGAGAAAGCTAGTATGCAACACATTATGCCGAAGGTAACCCGTAACATTTCCCAAAGAAATCGGAGTAAAACGTCGCGCTAAAAAGTCGAAGAGTGCGCGCGAGACGAGATGAAACTTTCCGCCGGTCGATGTACACGTGCGCTACGTGAGTCGTCCACGACGCTGAGAATTTAGCCGACGCTTTTATCCGCGAGGTGAAAACACGAGGACGTAGCCGTTCGCTCAAACTCTCCGCCGACTTCGATGCGTGGATCATTCAATCCGTCGCAAGCGAACAGCAGAGTAAGAGCGCGTCTTCCCCTCCCAGCTCGTTCCCCTTCAGTCTCATAACAAAATGTTACAAATGGCATTTCCTAAAAGTTGCATGCAACGTCCTCATGTCGGAGGACAAAAATCGAAATCTCGCCAGCTGATACACCCGAAAGAAAATAATTTCAGAACAAGCGGAATCATCTAAAATTTAGTGGATTTTATTCTTATATATGGCCTCAAGAAGATTCCTCTAAGATTAAGAAGAAAATATTATAAACACATTATTCTGAAAGTTAGAGGGATTATACGTTACACGTATAATGCAAATCTTATTGATTTTAATATAAATTTCCTCTTATACACAGATTATTTAATCTTTTTTTAAGAGGGTTATTATTTATTCTTACTTTACTTCATTCTTACTGGTTGTATAGTTAATTTGAAAAATTATAATGTATAGTGAAAAGTAATATATAGATGTACTTCTGGCTCCAGTTCTACAATAAGTAGGCACGAATGAAATAAGAACGTCGTAACAAACAAATTTCGAATCAGTTTTGTTATGGACTTCATAGCTACAGGATGCTCATCATAACCAATTAAATGAAACATAGTTAAAAGAAAGAATATATTATTCAACTTCTTGCGGTAGATTACAAACTATATTTGACTAAGTGTGAGTAAATTATCTCCGTTATATGTTACAGCAACATACTTTTTTTAAAAAGCATTCCAAATATTCTGATCCATAAGTATATGATTATTATTTTTTCGTTCATATCTGGAGATAGAGCATGACTTAACAAAAGAAGCCGACATTCAAATCAACATATTTCTCTTCATATAAGAAGGAAATTAATTGATACAAGAGGAAAATAGAATAACATCTGATAAATTTTACATGAATGATTCACTTTAATCGCTTTATCGGAAGAAAAATCCTTTTTCTGTTAAAGGCTTCGCTTAGAATATGAGATTATGGGAAAAATCACAAATAGAATACTTTTTTGGATGTAGTAGAGTAAAACACGCTTCAACGTCTAAATATTTGTTATTTATTTATTTCATTATTTATTTGAATTGTGTTTTCCATAATGACCCCGATATCTATCAAATTATATAAGAATCAATAATGAGTCGCTTCTACCTAATTTACCTGTTAATACACTGCAATTTGCGTAATTTATCCACAATAATTTATTAGATGCAATCATTCTAACGGTGAGGCAATATATATAAAGAGTCAACTGATTAAATTAAAAAAAGAAAATGAATTCACGCGTGCAGCACCTTGTCGGCATTATCAGCCACCCGTAATAATTAATCGCAACCTGCTGTCATTGACCGTTTCCTTACCGCGATTGATGACAAACGCATTTATCAATCTCTCTCCTCCCTCTCCCTCTCTCTGATTTGTCTCTAACAGCGGTCAGCCATCTTGCCGACAAAGTCACGCGCAACAATTCCCCGGCTCCGGTGTTTTTCGTTCCCGAAGAGCGTATAAAACACATCTCTTGAGCTCGCGTTCGGGTGTCAATGTTTTTCCACTATCCCCCTCTCTTTCTCTCTCTCTCTCTCTCTCTCTCTCTCTCTCTCTCTCTCTCTCTCTCTCTCTCTCTCTCTCTCTCTCTCTGTCTCCCGACGAACATCCCCTTCGAGTGAACGTTGTATCGTGGACTTGATTATCACGAGAAAAAATAGTCGTAAAGAGAAGGACGCTCGCACGTGCTCGACACTCTCTGCGACTTATTTGGGCGCATCCCCTTCCCCCCAGCCACCCCCTCTTTATTGATTTAAAGAATAGAAGTGTTCGGTTATCCCAGCCGCCTGGCAGGCTACGGTGGGACTGTGCACGAGAGCTATCAGCGGATATTGTTTTTGTTCAACCGGGCACTGATCAACCGTGATCCAGTTACGAGCTGCGCGATGAACGTAATCATCATTATCGTTCCATCGCGCATTATGCAAGGGTACCCCGGCCCCGGGTATTATCCACGGTGATAGATCGTGTTGCTCGGCGCATCGGGCGCGTCATGGCCGAGCGAGCGCGCTATCACGCTACACGCGCGGATCAGCTGTCCGTCGCGCGGCGCGGCGCGGCGCCGCGTCGAAATATTATTAATGGCAGGTGTTCTCTTTTGTTTCTCCCGCGGGGCACGCGGCCATCGTTGTTATCCGCGCCCGTGTATCTGAAACACGCAATCGTCGACGACGACGACGACGATGGCGGCGGCGACGACGACGACGACGACGACGACGACGACGACGATTGCGGGCGTAATCGCGATAGCGCGCCGGCAATTAACTAATTTTCTAATTAACCCCGCCGAGAGAGATCGCCGTTCGATTGCAGCGCGGGACGCGGATGCAGCACTATGGCAATGATAGAGATTCCGATAATTGGGATAATTTATCGTGCGTCCCAGTGATCGATAATAACGAGTTATCTAATTTATCCATCCATCTATTTTAACTCGCTTCCTCATTTGTTTACATAATAATTCATTAGGTTCCAATAATGCCGGCGGATACAATAGCGGAAACGCATCGTGTCGCAGTTGCGTGCAAAAATGCACGAAACCACGACGAAAGAGATCGAGAGCGACAATGGGGGAGGGCGGGGAGGAGAGGCGAAGGATTTTGCCGTCGAGATGCGACAGCGCCGTCTAATCGCCGCGGAAATTAATCGGCCGGCGAGGGGGGACAGCGAGCGGTCGAATTTGATGGAATACTCGGGCTGATCGATCGCACGCTAAAAAGCAACCCCAGAGGCCCTCTCCTCTTGCCCGCCGCCCGGCCGCCACTCCTTCAAGGGGTATAACGTTCTGCCGGCGTTACGATTAATTAATGTAAATTGCCTCTGGAGCGCGCTGTAAGCCAGTGACAATGTGCAAGATCACTGAGCTTGCGGTGTAACCGTTAATCGTTAAGCTAATCGATTCCCACCGTATCCTCGAACATGACGGCTGCATCTGTTTACTATGTACGTATATATACATATGTATATGTAAATATATATGCACCGTATGTAACGTGCACCTAATCGAGGGTATGCGCGAGGCCGTACACGCAGACGCGCTCGTATTCATGCATATATAAATAAATAAATATATATATATATATATATATATCGCGTCTTAGTTTCAGATAAGGGCAAGGAGCCGGAATCGCGGCAGTTCGTCGGCCTGGTGATCGGGATCCTGACGACCGTGATCGTCATGCTGCTCGCAGCGATCACGTTCATCTTCTACAGGAACCGCAGGCTCAAGGCCGCCCTGGCGCCGTCGACCTTCTACGATCAGCAGGGCGATCATCTCAAGGTCGGTGGCTACAGTCGCGTCTAATCATCATCGCGGGATTAACGACGCGTTTATCTTCGATTTTAGTTCGACCGAGTCTCGTCGACACGGGGCGGGGGTGAAAGTCTTTGCTGAGGGAACGAAAGACGGTTGACCTCGGTATTCCGTATTCGCTCTAAATTATAATCGCTCTCGGCATTAACTGCATTTTCGTCCTTCTGACGAAAAAGCAGCGATGTGCATATGCGACTTTCGTCGCGTTATTGTTGTCGCTATAATATTACAGTATAGCGATCACTGTAAAAATATAAAAAGGTACACTATGTAGCGGTATAGAAACAGCAAAAAGATAGCACTGAAAGCTACAACAAGAAATTATTTCCCCGGCTATATTTGTTCCACTATGCGCTCGTAACCGCACCATAGCGGGCACTTTCTCCTCGGCGTAGATCACGCTTGACTCTGCCGCGAATTGCGGATAGAGAAGAACGTGAAGAAGGCTAGCTCTCTCGTTAGAGTCCGCGAAACGAGGCCGCCGCCCTCGACGATGCTCGCGCGCCGTCGGACGAAAATCAGGCACGATCGGCCGGCCGGACGGTTCTTCTTACCTTCGTTCCTCCTTCTCGCGGCGGCGAGAGCGTGTTACCTCTCGGCGCCTCCGATTTATTTAACGACGACGATCTTTCTCCGCGTTACGACGTCACGACAACGCGTGACGACAACGACTACCGAGCCGCTTTAACGCCGGAGAGCTTCGCCTCTGGATCTAATAAACCGAACAGACGCATCTGTTTGCTCTAAGCTTCCAGGTCACTCTACGGCGCTTTTGAGCAATCGCGCGAAATAGCTTGCACCTGCCTGCCTATTACGCGCGCTCGCGCTCGCAAGCAGAGAGGCAGAGGGCGAGGGAAGATTTGGAGGGGGGGGGCTGGGGGAGGAGAAAGGAAAATGCGGCGATCAAATATTCTCTTCGAGACGGCGGCCCGACAGCGTGAAACGAAATCGCGCGCTGCAACGATTAAGAGGCACGGGCGGCGGGTGGGGGGGGGGGGGGTGTGGACGCGCTCCCGAGATTGTTCGTGACGCGCGATTAACAAGCAGTCTGCGCGAATTAATCTCGTATGCGTATTTATACGGAGAGGAGGCCGGCCGCGCGCGCGGCGGGAACGAATGCCGTGACGGCAATTAGCGCGATTAAACGGCTCGATTGTGCTAACGCGCGAATTTTACACGCGCGTTGGAATTGCAACCCCGCTCCCCCTCGCCCCTGCCCCCGTCGGCTCGTTCACGGCCCAACTGCCGCGTGAGAAACGCGCGGAAAAACGAGCGGCGGAAAAAATGAGCGAAAGGAGAAATATCTTCGCTCGTGCGTGCGAGCGAGAGGAGTGCACAGGCGACGATATTTTCCGCCGAACGTTTCTCGTCGCGCATTCCGTCGTCGACGTCGACGTCGACGTAGTCGTTGTAACGTTCTCCCGCGGCTGAAAACGCTTCCCGGCGAGAAAGAAAAGAGAGACGTTTTGGCCTCGCACCTCGTCCTAACGCGGACGAGCGTCTAACTTTGTCGTAAATTCCGCTCCGACTCCTGTCCTACGAAACAACGGGAATTATTAACGTCGCGCGTTTACCTCTCCCCCCCCCCCTCTCGCTTCTCTCCTTTGCCGTCGTTCGCGCATCCTCTTTCTCGCGCATTCTACCACACTGTTGCCCGGAGTACAGTTTCGCGCGACTTTCCACGATGCACGGTTTATAACGGACGAACACGTCTCTCTCGCGAGCTCTCACTTACTCCCCCCTCCCCCCTCTTCTCTAACTCTGTTTCTCTCCTCGTGTACTCGTGCGCGCCGTTGACTCACTGCCGAAAACGGGCTCGTCCCGCGCGAGAAAAATATCTGTCAGCGGTGAGGCCGGCTGCGCCGGAAAGGGCTGCGAAGAGACGCCGGAAAGTCGACAGACGCGGGGAAAAGCGCGTTTTGCTCGATTATCATCCCGCTGCGGTCTAAACGCGAGCTCGAAGCGGCGATTCGCGCGACGGCGCCGGGCACGGACGTGCGAGGTTAACGAGGCAAGGAGCGAAGAGCGGTCTGTCGTTCGCGACAGACGGGAAAGCGCGGTCGAGGAGTAGAACGTTGGGTGGAGAATCGTTAGAGACGGGGGAATCGAGCGTGTTACGCAAAAAGTTGATACTTGACCGACTGAAGAGCGAGGGGGCGGTCGATGCGGACGCGGAGAAAAGAAACGACGAAATGAAGGAAGGAAGGAAGGAAGGGAAAAGGGGGGATGAGGTCTGGAAACTTGGCGTGTGTTTACCAAGCCACTATTGTTCTAACCGGATTAATAGCGAAGTGAAGTTCGTCCGTTCCGTAGAAATGGACAGTTCTCCCTCCCCCTTCTCTCTTTCTCCTTCCCTCCCCCTGCAGTTCGCCCGTGCTTTTTCGCAGGATATAGCGGAAGACAGTAATTAACGACTTGCTGAACGATGAGAAATAATGAGTGCCAGACAGTTGAGCTTGCACCCCCTCTCCCACCCCCTCTCGCAGCCGCTCTCTCTCTCTTTCTCTCTCTCTCTCTCTCTCTCTCTCTCTCTATCTCTCGCACGTAGCTCTTCTCTAGCTTGGCTGTTTGCACGGCACCGGGTCGACCAGAGAAACGTACGGCGCACGACAGTCGACGATTAATAACGACATTAACAACCAATCGAAACAAATTGAAGACTCGGCGCGTGAGCGCTCCGACGATATTAGCTATCGGGGACTAATTAGTCGCTCGAAATACTTCACGGGGGTGTTCGTTATTAACGGTGACAAATGAAGCGAGAGCACGAGCGTCCTGCGAGTCGAGGAACTACTGGCGCGCGAATCGTGTTTTTATCAGCGCAAGATCACGCCCTGAGACGAGTCGATTATTAATTATTCATGACACGTGCGATTTGATACTTCATATAAACGGCTATTCCTTACTCTACCCAAATTGACGATGTCGTTCCACATTCGTTGTTCTCTTCCCTCTTCGTTTCTCACCAAGCACTTCGCGGTGCTTTATTTCCGAAGATCAGCGGAAATGCTGCATTTACGAAAATCAGCGAGATCTTTTATTCCCGAACATTACCGAAGTTACGCATCGCGTATAACGTCCACCGATCCAGCGAGCCGCCCAAATGCAACCGATGTAGGATAAGAGAGAATTCAGGATAGATGGACATAGTTTATTTAATTGGAAATAACACATCTGTATCATTACGATAAATAATCAACAACATATTAACACACTCACTAGAGGATAATGTTTAAGGTACAGAAGAATTTTTGTGAAAAAAAATTCATGGAACGCCAATAATAACGAAATATTAAAAATATTCTATAAGGGATAGATAGTCAGGCGCGTGTGTGTGTGTGTGTGTGTGTATGTGTGTGTTCAGGTTAGATGGTCATATGTGAAGGGATAGTTGGGCATGCCTATAATAATGTAGAAATTTGTTCATCTTTATTTATTTTTTTAGTATCTTCCAGCCTTTTTATTAATTATTAATCCTTTTATAAATTAATAAAATTATCCTAAAGATCCTTTTAATAATTAATAAAATAAAACTGTTCGCTGTCTGGCGAAGCGAACTAGAGGACCGCTCAGCTATGAGCGCAGAGTTCCACAAACAAAAGAAGACACCGCCGTGAGTTTCGCGGGATCGTTCCCTTTTATTTCCTCCTCTTAGTAGATCCTCGTCGAAATGCTAGGAGGACGATTCTTGCTGATCGGAGTGCGAGCACCAACCGAACCCGCGATCCAATTTTTATTACAAAAAAAATACAAAAATAAACTTTGAAAATGCGGACGACCCTCAAATTCGCACGTGGCACGTTCGGTCGTCGAATAATTGACTTGAGACCGCAACCGTGTTTCCGTAAGCGGAGGGTCGACCTGAGCGATCGATCGAACAGTTGAATAGAAAAAACGGCGCGGAGCGAAGCGGAATTGAAAAATCTCCAACCGGTCTCGCGCGAATTTTTGGTCTGATCGGGGTGAGGAGCGGAATCTTGCTCGTCACCTCGATCTTACAATGATTATTTGTTTTTCTTTGTTGCTTGGCTCGAAGACGGGACGTTAGCAGCTTGTTTGAAGCGTGATTAGGCCATTAGAGATCACATGCTAACAAACAGTGACGATAACAACGGTGTTTGTCTCGTAGCCGAACAAAGTCCGATCACGCGGAAGTCACGCGCAATGTGTCGTCGTTTCGATGGTCCTCGAGTCCACCGAAACAATAAGCCGCGATGAGACGACGAATCGCGAACAAAAACATTTCCACAAGTTTCTTATAGAAAAGGTTGAAAAATTACAACATAAAAAAAGACCTTATGGGAAACATTGTTTATTAAAGAGAGAAAAGAGAAAGAAATCTATTCGGCATCTTTAAACGAAACAAGAAGCTGTTTAAAATGTACTGAAGTTTTTAACGTTAGGTATCCAGGGAAAAATGATAGTCGAATAGATCGGATCGACGTCTTTTATACGTCTGAAGCATCTAGAAAACGATAATCCGATGTCCATTGCTTGCTATTTCTCGCTGAATAAGCTGCCCATCTAGCCGTGATAAAAATGAACCATCTATCCCGCTTGGAAAGTTCGCGTAAAGATACGTACACCGCGTGAAACGTAGTCTCGGTGATGAATTTTGAAATTAAGTACGCAAATACGATGTTTCTTTTAGTCGTTTAAGCCCAGGTCTAATGTTGTAACTCAAAATAAACCGTATTCGCAAGCTATTTTTCCGACGTTTTGGAGGTTAACAAAAAACATAAGACATTTATCTCCTCACAATAACAGTATTTTTATGCATCAGGAAGAGGCATTTACTCGTGGCACATCCAACTCACAACTGACCGGATTAGTGCTGACGCCTAGCATATATTAACAAAATTATAGCGATTGACCATCCATCTCTTATGTTCATCTATCCCGGACTTACCCTGTATATATAATCTCCGACGTAGGGAAAGACGTAAGCGCGCTTATAATGTTCCCCG